CCTAAAAGACAATCAATGACTTGTTGGCTTGAGCTGTAACTGAAGAAATAACTAAACATTCTCATTAGGATTCATGTTTTTCAAACTCACAAAATAAAGTTTTTAAATAAACATACCCAAATTCTTTTGCCACTTGCATAATCTAGAATTAGCCTATTACTTTTCATTATAATATACTAGAGGCCCGATGCACAAAATTCATGCAAGAGTAGGCCTTCACAGCCACAGCGGCTGCCTGGACCCCTCCCTCAAAGCCGCGGCAGCTTCCTCAATCCTGCAGCTGCAACCCCGGCTTCATCCAGAAGGACATCTGGTCTAATTAGCATATTACCCTTTTATTATTATAGATCATATTCTCTTATAAATTTGAATATTGTTAGACTTTGGAAATTTTATAGAACAATACAATAAATATTTTTAATACCTTACAAATTTCAACTTTTTTATATAGTTCAATATTCTCATCCAGGGCAATCTTGTCTCCCAGGTACATTTGACAATCTCTGGAAATATTGATTCTCACAACTGGAGATTTCTACTGGCATCCTTGGTAAAGGCCAAGGACTCTACTAACCAGCCTACTATATGCAGGATAGCCCTCCAAAACAAAGAATTACCAATAGTGTCAACATTGTTCTAGCTGATAGGAAATCAAATTAGTTCTTGTTACTGCTATGCCTTATAATCCAGTAAATAAATTATTTTTTCTTCTATGTCTCTGGATCTATATTTTGTGGAACCTCAGAGAGAAGGCAGGGGAGGATAGGTGGGTGTGAAGTGATCAATCAACGAACTTGTATGCATATATGCATAATCCATGGACACAGACAATAGAGTGGTGAAGGCCTGGGGGGGGGCGGGGTGCGGGTGGTTGGGGATAGGCTAGAAGAAGTCAATGGGGGGGAACAGGGGACATATGTAATACTTTCAACAGGAAAGATTTAATTTAAAAAATAATACAATAAATTATTTTTCTTTACCCCTACATACCTACATCAAATATATATTATATTGTATCACACCTACTATAGAATTACCTGGATTGATTGTTTAAATATAAGCTTCTTGAACCCTTGACACTGAATCTCAATTGTTGGAGAAATGATGAGGGCATTTACATCTCTATCTAGACCTACTGCTTTTCCTGGATTCAAAACTTTGAAAGTCAAAAATTTTCTTTCTTTTATATAACAAAGTATTTCTTTTCCCACACTTAAACTCTAGAAGTTATGGTCTGTTTCCTTAAATAATTCAGAAAAATAAAAACAGGTACAATATTCTAGTTATAACAATAACATTAATCATTGAAAGTTACACTGATGCTGGAAAAGATGTTGGAGTTCATTTATAAAAATCTCTAATTTTGTTTGATAGTTTATTTTGTTCATTAGATTTCACATACACGTGAAATCGCATGGTATCTGTGTTTCTCTGACTGGCTTATTTCACTTAGCATAATACTCTACAGGTCCATCCTTGCTGTCTCAAAAGGTAAGATTTCCTCCTTTTTTATGGCTGAGAAATAGTCTATTGTGTAAATACACCATACCTTTTTATCCATTCATCTACTGATGGGAACTTGGGCTGCTTCCAAATCTTGGCTACTGTAAATAATGCTGCAATGAACATAGGGGTGCGTGTCTTTTTCTGAATTAGTGTTTCAGGTTTCTTCAGACATATTCCCAGTGGTGGAATCACTAAGTCATAAGCCAGGTCCATTTTTAATTTTTGGAGGTAATTCTATACTGCTTTCCACAGTGCCTGCACTAATTTGCATTCCCACCAACAGTGCACCTGGGTTCCGTTTTCTTCACATCCTCACCCAACACTTGTTTGTCACTTTATTGATAACTAGAGGCCCGATGCACGAAATTAGAGCAAGGGCCTTGGCTCCTGCTGATGCAGCAGGCGGGGGCCTCTGCTGACTTTGACTCGTCTCCCACCCACCACAGCTTTGTCTGAAAGGAAGGATGTCCAGTCTAATTAGCATATTAGGCTTTTTTTGTCATAGCCTAGAAACCTGGTGCACAAAATTCTTGCACTCGGGGTGGGGGAGTCCTTCAGCCAGTCCTGTGCCCTCTCGCAGTCCAGGAGCCCTCAGGGGATATCCAACTGATGGCTTAAACCCCCTCCCCACGGGGCTCCCACTGCTGCTGCTGCGCTCACCAGCCATGAGGCCAGCTGTTGGCTGAGTGGCACTCCACCTGTCATAGCAACTGGTCAACTAGACTGCCTGCCCCGTGGTGGTCAGTGTACATCAAAGCGAGCAGTTGAGTGGCCTCAGCATATCATTAGCATATTATGCTTTTATTATAGGACTAGAGGCCTGAAGCACGAAGATTCCTGCAAGAATGGGCCTTCCTGCCCTAACCAGTTTGGCTCAGTGGAACATCCCCAGTGGGGAGTGTGCAGGAAGCAGCTGATCAATGTTTCTCTCTCATCGATGTTTCTAACTCTCTATCCCTCTCCCTTCCTCTCTGTAAAAAAAATCAATAAAATATATTTTTTAAAAAAGAAGAAAAAAGAATGGGCCTTCCTTCCCCTGGCTGCCAGTACCGCCTTAGCTCTGGCCAGAGCCAACTTTCCGCCTTCACTCCGGCCCAGAGGCACCTTTCTGCCTTCACTCTGGCCCGGAGCTGCCTTTCCACCTTCCCATGCTGCCCAGAGGCCCAGAGCAGCAGGGGCAGGGCGGAACGCCTGCATCATCACCATAGCGATGACACAAGCGTCCTCCCTGCCCCCAGCCTCTCAGCACCTGCATATGCAAATTAACCCGCCATCTTTGCTAGATTAATTTGCACAATCACTCCTGATTGGCTGGTGGGTGTTGCGAAGGTATGGTCAATTTGCATTTTTCTCTCTTATTAGTGTAGATAGCCATTCTGACAGACATGGCATAATATCATGTGGTTTTAAATTGCATTTCTTTGATGATTAGTGACACTGACCATCTTTTCATGTCCACCTGCCATCTACATGTCCTCTATTGAGAAGTATCTATTCATGTCCTTTGCCCATTTTTTAATTAGTTCGGTGTTTGGAGGTTTGCGTGGGGGGGGGGGGGGGGGGGGGGGAAGGTGTCCCTCAGCCTGGCCTGAGCCCTCTTGCGATCTGGGACCCAAGGGAGCAGGCCTAAGCCGGCAGGTGGACATCCCCAGAGGGGTCCTTATTGGTAAATATGCTCTTCCATTCAGTGGGTTGTCCTTTCATTTTGTTGATAGTTTACTTTGCTGTGCAAAAACATTTTAGTTTGATATAGTCCCATTTGTTCATTTTTTCTTTGATTCCTTTTGCCCCAGGAAATATGTCAGAAAAATATTGCTATGAGAAATGTCTGAGATTTTACTGCCTATCTTTTCTTCTAGGATTTTTATGGTTTTGAGTCCAAGATTTAAATCTTCAATTCATTTTGAGTTTATTCTTGTGTATGGTATAAGAAGGTGATCTAGTTTCATTTTTTTGCATGTCCCAACACCAAATATTAAACAGACTCCCTTTATCCCATTTATATTCTTGCCTCCTTTGTCAAATATGAATTGATTATTAAGGCATGGTTTTATTTCTAGGCTCTCGATTCTGTTTCATTAATGCATACCAGTCATTTTCAACACTTTTGATCTCATGGCACACATAAACTAATTACTAAAATTCTGTGGCACACACAAAAATATATTTATTTCCAATCTTACAAAAAAATAGGTATACTCTGGATTCATTCACACTGGATAGTATTGTTGTATTGGCCATTGTCATTTATCTATTCCACAATCTTATAATCACTAACTAAAATATGTTTTTAAAATTTTTCCAGCACACTGGTTGAAAATTGCTGATCTGGGAGGAACCGAAGATGGCAGCATAGGTTAACACCGGAGATTGCTGCCTTGAACAACCAATTCAAATTAAGACTGAAACAGGGAACGGACAACATCCAGAACCACAGGAGGGCTGGCTGAGTGGAAATTATACAACTAGGAGTAAAGAGAATATCATATTCAGACTCAGAGGAGGTGCAGTGCTGAAGTGAAATTCTCAGGTACGGAGTGCGCGCGGAGCCACGGGCTAGCGGCGTGGAGGGCGCGGTTGTTTACAATCGGGAGGGAGCTTCAGACTCTGAGCTCCAGATCCAGGCGAGTCGCTAGGGTCTCCCACTGCAGACACAGCTGATTCTCACTGCCAATTGGCCGGGAGGTCAATTCCTCCCAGTGATTCTACAGCAACCAAGGCATAGCTAAAACAAGACTGTGCACAAAGCCCACAAGGGGGTGCACCAAGAGTGTCCACCTCAGGTAACTGGGGAGGCTGAGCCACTGGGCCCTACAGGACACCTAACACACAAAGCCACTCTCCAGCTAGTGTTCAGGTGGCTATTCAGGTTGTAATTCCAGTTTGGTTCTGGGAGGAGGTGAGTGTAACATTCATGTACTCCACCCCATCTTGGATCCACTATATTCCCATTCATCTTTAAAGTGAGGCAGGTTAGTAAGAAACTAGGAAATTCCCTGGCAAGTGGAATAAGGAAACTGAGACAAATGACTGAACCAAACTGCTGCAATAGCAAACGGTTGGAATAGCTGACCAATAACAGCCAGCTAATCCTCCCTAACCAAAGATACCTAAGAGCAGATGGAGGAAACTGAGCAAAACTCTCTCATCTTATAGATGAGAAAATTAAGATGAGAAGTGTCTGAGTTCACAGAACCATTTAGTGACCTAGTCAGGTATCTTATGTTAACTAGTGTGAAGTATGAAGAAGTGATTTCCTCCAAATCTCAGACAACAGGTAACATTTAATGGATCTTTTCTCTGTGGGGCCCTGAAATTTCCTGAGTGGTCTCTGTCAGTTATTCCTACACTTTCATTCAAGACTCTGCATTCTGCATTATGGGGCCAGGAAAACAATGTTGAATAAAGAACTTTGAGAGAGACCTGAGAACATTTTTAAGTTAATACACAATGCAGCTCAAATTAGTGTAATATAGTGTGGTTGACATAATTACAGAAACCTGAAGATATATCAGGGGGAAAGTATAACAGAAAAGGCTTCCTGTAGAAGGTGAGTTTTTAATCAGAATTTAAAGGAGGAAAACTTAATTAGGAAGAGGTAGAGAGAGCATTGTTATTGAAGAACATGGAGGCAAAAGCCAAAAATAGAAATTAGCCTATCAAATTCAGAGGACTGCAGATAATTTAAGGCTTCTGAAGCACAGAGACCATACTGGGGAGTAATCAGAAATTTGTTGAGATTAGCAAGGCAATGCAGAGAAAGGGAAAGAATTAGTAAAAGTCTCCAAGTGCCAAGTATGGATTCTCAGAACACCTGCAATTACTAAACATCCCTCTGTTTTGTTTTCTACATGGCACTATTGCCCCCTGAAATTATCATATTTATTTGTTTACCTGACTTTTGTTGGTCTCCCCAAATGCAATGTAAATTCAGCACACTGGGAGTTTGGATTGCAGTGAGGAATGTCTAGAGTCAAGGCAACCACTTTAAAATGAGTTGGACTAGTATACAGCTATAGAAATCAGAATGGGAATGGCTAAAAAGAATTAGATGAACAGAATAAATATTTACTGGGCTCAGTTTATGTGGCCTGCCCCCACCCCCATTTGGACATTGATTTCTGGCCAGAGCAGCCTTAGCAGCAGCAATTCCCGAGGAGTTAGAGCCAGAGCATTACTATAGTAGCTGATGACCCACTCAAATGCGGGAGACGCTGTCTGAGACACTGACTGGACTAGACTTGTGGGGAACTGGAGTTTGGGCAGCTGCTTGGAGATGCAAGTGACACAACCTGAAAGGTCAGAGGAGTTAATAACCTCCTCTCTGGGATGGGGAAGAGGTGAACTTTGACTCACTCATAGGAATTTTGACTAATTTTAAAGAGAGAGCTAGTACATAAATTCTTCTATTTTCCTTTCCCTCAGAGACTAGTCTGACATGCAGTAGTTCATATGTCGTCTCTAGTGATGTCCTATGAGACTGAGCAACACTTGGGGAGCTTGTTATAAAGCTGTAGCCTGGCTGGAAGTGGACGGCCTGTATTTATTTACACCTATCTTCCATTCTCCCTGCCTTGCTCCTCTTCCCCCTCGCTTCTGCTTCCCTGGCTTTGCACTCCCCAATAAAGTGCTGGCATGTAAGTTTCTCACTCAGGCTCTGTTTCCTGGGCATCCCATGCTAAGGTAAAAGCTACCCTAACTAGTAAATGAAATGCAACCCAAGCACTTGGCTGTATCTGTATTTGTGAGCAAATCCAGCAAGGTTTAGAGATGTGTAAGATGTTATTAAGTTGGCGGCATGGACTTTAAGTTGCCAGTTCATCAGCCCCAAAATTTTTCTACCAAAAATTTTTCTGGCCTCTGCTGCACCCATGTAGCAATCAATCCTCTAGAGCAGTGGTTCTCAACCTTCTGGCCCTTTAAATACAGTTCCTCATGTTGTGACCCAACCATAAAATTATTTTCGTTGCTACTTCATAACTGTAATGTTGCTACTGTTATGAATCATATGTAAATATCTAATATGCAGGATGGTCTTAGGCGACCCCTGTGAAAGGGTCGTTCAACCGCCAAAGGGGTCACGACCCACAGATTCAGAACTGCTGCTCTAGAGTTTTAGTTCGTATGACTAGAGAATAGGCAAGATTGGATATGAAGGAACCGAGGGAGAAAGAGAGGTGGGCTAGCAACATACAGAAGAGAAGCAATGGGGAAATTGAAGCAGACTAATTGCAGAAGATCAACCATTTCCCCTC